ACATAAACATTCACCTGATTCAGGAGGTCCTTTAATGGCTGAGTTCCTTGGGATTCTATGCGTTGAGTATCCATGCAGGATCGATAGAACAAGATTGCTTTCTCCTTAGCTGAGCTTCTTACCCCAAGTTCTGGGGTCTCTGAGAAAAAAAGGTAGATGAAAAACTACAAAAGCTGCAACTAAGAAAGCCAGGGCAGTATCAGAGCAGAAAAAATGATATAATAAAATATTACATCGCACTGTGATTCAGAGCAATTCAACAAAAATATCCACACTGGTCACTACTATTGAACCGTCAGAACAGGAAAGTTAATCTATGACCATGCAAGTTAAAGCAACTTCAACTATGAATAAGGAGAAAACTGCCTTCTATTTTCTAGAAATCCACCTAGTGTTGTGAAACAATGTCCACATCTTAAATCTGTACCTGGACTACTGCTGGGGCATGTCAGAATGCATGAAGGAACCTGTTCCCCCAGGCATCCAGAGCAAGAGGTCTTCCAGTGTTTGCCATGAGTCTTCCTGAGGCCGGATTCATGGGTTTCTTTGCATGGAAAGTGGAGTACAACAGGAAGATGGTTCATATCTAGGCTTCAGGCCAACATGGAGTTAGGACAGGGCCAGAGTGCAGATTCAAAGACAGCCAAAAGGGACTACTTTCACAAGGCAACAGAAAAATGGCTTGGTTTTCTGTCAGAATTCGAAGTGTGACTTCCATCACACTCAGCAAGGGGAACTGAAATGTTTGAAATATGGCTATTATAATAGGACATTTTCAGGAACAGATCTATACCTGTAATGATAGAATGAAGAGACTGGAATCAGTCCCTGTTGGGAATGATTGTGCTCTTAGTTATCAGTGTTCTCAGCTCTGACTGAGAAAGATACTGAAGGTAATACATCAATCATCTCCCGTCCCTACCTAAAAGCCTTTTCAGGATCAGCTGGTTTTCTTCCAACAACACATCAAAGACATTTAGTGATTCTTCTGTGGTTCTGCTTGAGTCTTTGCCTCTCCAGCTGCCACAGGCATATTTGTAGAAATCCTTGCAGGGGTCTACGGTGTCATTCCTAGAATTCAAGAGTCTGGCCAACAGTGCAAGACCCACCTCAGCATCACAGGATCCTGGTCAGGAAGTAAACAGGACAGAACTGAGCAGCAACAATGGCGACTGAGAATAACTTCAAACAAATAATGAGGAGTTATCTGTGCGACATTTCCCTCAAAAGATTTATTTTTGGTACAAACTTCTTTGCATGTGGAGTGTTGAATTCCCTGTAAGTTATTGCTGAATATGGAATAAAGCATGTACTATCTTTGACTTCATGGGAAGATTACTTTTGTACTTTATAAGGGAGATTCTGTAAAGAGAGGACAGACTGTCAGTTCAGAGGTGGTGTCCTGTATTGGTACTATCTGGGCAGTCACTGACTAGATTACTCTGCCTTCTGAATGCATGTTCTCTGATTCAGCATTCACTGATTCGGCCAAATGATAAACAAGGTACTGATGGTTTCAATACACAAAACAAGAGAAGGACATAGCACAGAGAAGGTAGAGGAGATATTCAAAACCCGCCTAGACGCGATCTTGTGCAATGTGCTCTAGATGATCCTGCTTGAGCAGGGGGACTGGACTAGATGATCTCCAGAGGTCCCTTCCAACCTCAACCATTCTGTGATTCTGTGATTCTGTGATTCTGTGAGATAAGTTTAAAACATGTGCATGAACCATTCTGAAAACATCTGTTTAGTTAATTTGATAGGGTACTGAATGTTCCCCGTCTCTCTTCACAGCTCCCCATTGAGCAGGAGACTCCCACTTTTCTGTCTATAATATGACTACACTGACTGATGCTAGAAAACTAGGACTAGACTTACAAAGTCAGGGATGGAAAAGCGGAGATGCTCCAAACCTCAGATTCAGCCCCAGTTTCCTGGAGGCAACTTCAGACAGAGCAAGACACTGCAGTGTCACACACAAGTTGTAGGTGAGGAGCATGAGATGCAACATCTGCTGGGCAATATAACACTGCTCTCCCTCAAAGCTGGGCCCAAGCATATCAAAAGGCAGATAGAGGAGGAATGGCGGAGGGGGGAGATCTTCAAGTAGGAGCCAAATAGTATACCTTGTTTACAATTAATGTCATCTTAAGTTTACTTGAGATTCTGAAAGTCTGGTTCTTACACAGATACTAAGCCCAATAAGCCCTGGAGGGAGATAGAAAAGGAAGGGATCTCATAAATGGGGTGGATGAGGAGGCAAGGAAAAGGATATTATGTATTATACCCAGACCACAGGTCATCATTATGTGGGTGATAAGCAGTGTAAAGCCCAGGACAATACTGAGAAGCAGCACACACAGAAGTAGTCTTTTCCTCTGAAGACATCTCTTTTTCTTTGCAGCTGCCCTTAGCTCCAGGTCACAGGTCTGAAGAAGGAAAATGAGACAAGCAGAAAAAAATGAAGAGAGAAAAATTACTTTTAAAGTTAGCACTGGTTATATACTCTAACTTCCACCTATTTTACAGGGAAACGGCTGATGAGACTAGTGCTAGAGCATTAGAAATGGTCCAAGTCTCAGAGGTGAGGCTATTTCCAGAGATTTCCTCACCTCCTTCATTTCCCTTGCTTTTCCAGATATAGCTATTGCATAACATTAAAAATTATGCATCTAAAAGCCATAAAGCTTTTTATGTGAGGGCCTGTTCCCCCATAATTCTGTTCCGGTTTATGGGATCTCCTTACATATACCTCCTGAATGTATCAAAGCCTTTTTGTGTCTGGTGGCTCCAGAAATGATTGCTCACCATCTCTGTTACAGTTTGCCAACCTGAGCATTCATTTGAGATCTTGAGCCTTGGAGTTCAGCTCACATAGGAGAAAAGACTTATCACATTCTAAAATGCATTCTAAACTGCAGTAAGCTGCAAGTCACAGATGATATCTTATACCCAGATAGGTTTTATCTCACTTAAATTTATTTGTATTTAGTAATCTAGGTCTGTCTTCTTAGTCAGGGGAGAAGGCTAGGCACCTTATGAGTACCCCTTCTATTTCAGATATCCGTTTTAGGATAAACCGAATCATCATCCAGAGATACTGATTTTTTTCTCCATTGACTACAAAGGAAGCTAGATGACTATGCTAGGTTACTCTCCAAAAAGTTAAATAAGTTGATTTACGATTTCAATAAGATGAAATTTACTGTGTGTGTCTCCACTGCTTCTACCTATTTTACGTGCATATACCTGGAGGAGAGCAGCATATCACAAGAAAACAGATATGGGAACGGAAGCTGGTGGTGTAAGGAAAGTGAAAGAACTAAAACATGAAATGTGGAATGACTGGGTGATAATATACAGTGAGGAAAAGGAGGCAGAAGAGAAAGAAGTAAAGAGAAGATAATAGAAAAGCCTTGAGGAAGAGGGAAAGGGAAGAAAGAGTATAGCAAGTAAGAGGTATAACTCTAGTAAGCACGAGAGCTGATGGACGTGTCAGTTTGAGAATCTCACATGGACTCCCACAGGGTCAGGGCCTGGCATGCACTCTTTCCCTCCTGGGAGGCTAGCTTCCAGCGCTTAAGGCCAGCTCTCTGATAAGAGAAAGTTGTTTGAGAAAACTTGGCTGTCCTTGGAACTCTCTGAGAAAAAACTAGAAGAAGCCTCAGTGGAGGCACCCACTCCTTCACTTGGGAGCTGCTTTTTGCAGCTTTCATGCTTGACCTCCATCTGAGATATGCTGCAGCAGCATTAAAATCATGCCTACACCTGGCCATGTACCCTTTTAATCTGGACCCTGACCCTAACCTGCAGACTTGACTTCCTGGCTTGACCTTGGACCTACCTTCCCTCTATGGATTTGTCTGGTGATCTAGACTCTTAGCTGAACCTGGCTACCACCACTAGACCACCTGCTTTACTCCCCTCTTTCCAGTACTGTGAGATTGTACCCCTTGCAGGTAAGGTCATTGCTCCTTGCCTGCCTTTTCGTGGACTCTCAGCTCCCAGCTTGTCTTCCCTTGCCCGCCCTTGCTGCTCTTTTACATAAAGCAGTTAAAGATTTTCTTCATTTGTCATCAGGCTCAGTATTTAACTTCTTTACCACAAAAACAGAACACATGATCTGTACAAAAATAACAAGAAGAAATGAAGCAAATCCCAACAAAGAAATGAAGCACCTCACAGCATATACCCCTTCCCATGAGGAAAGACTAGGAAAACGAATGAGTCCATTGTTAATCATCTTGCCTAACGTGCTACTGGAGGATACTCAGACACTGTCATGGGGATTCCTATATAAAAACTTCAACAGAACAGAAAACACAGAAAGAAAAAGAAAAGCAGAGCTTAATATGTGATATCCTTCAAACATGCAGTTGTTTTGATAATTAATAAAGGCTTCTCAAAAGTAAAAGGCAACCTACTTGACTCCTGCAAACTTCTAACAAGGGTTGGATACCTAACTGCCTTTGTCCCTTCAAAATTCTATTTCTGACTACATAAGGCAGGATACAGAATAACTAAGTGGAGAGCAAGTATATACAAGTGAACCCTGGTGTTAAAAGCTGCAAAATACAAAACATGACCATACTGGCAAAGTGCAGTGTGGGGAACGTAAAGGAGGAAATCTGAATTCCTTTCATATGCCCTTGCAGTAAAACATTTTAGCTTTTACTCTCCAAGTAGACAGTAAGGCAGGGAAGAGAGGGAAATAAAATTTGTCCAGCTGACAAGGGGGAAGAACAAGTATCCTTTGATGTGTAAGCCCTCACCTCTCACCTAAATCATTCACTATGCTCTTGTCTTCTCTGTCACAATGGACTTGTTTTTTTTTTCACACTGAAAATCTGGCCTATCCCAATTATGAAGTATTTACAAGTCTGGAGTTCTTTGGTCTCATTTTATTGCAGAATGTCTATTTCTCTCTTTCAAGTACTGAATGGCATGGCTGTGCAGCTATTAATGAAGCTGAGAAATGAGAATATTGTAAGACTGCCACGGCAATTTCTGTAGAACTTCTGGTTAACTGGAGGTCTACATCAAGCCTACACATTACGCTCTTTTTGAAATGGAAAAATGCATCAAATAGTAGATTTTTTAAAAACTCTAAGAAAACTAGACTTTCCCCCTTGAGACCCCAGTTTGAAACAGCTAGAGAAGTGTGCATGTACCTGGCTGATAACAGCAGATTACAGCATATCATAAGAGAACAGACAGGGGAAGGCAAGCCGGTAGTACACTTCTTGCTTAGAAACTGGATTCTAAGGTCTATGTTCTGTGAGCCATAAGAAGAATAAAAAGTGTTCTTCAAGCACCTCACCTTCCCTAAGAAATGCCTTTCTAATCTGGCCTCTGTTACTGTGCTTAGGTTTGAGAGAACTTCTGGATCTACATGAATAGAGAAAAAGAAGAGGAAAATCTTACTTTATATCCTTTACAGGACAACAGCTTGGAGAAATCCATATAGGCACACACCTGCTCTTTTGATACACTGATAATAACACTGACCTAGGCAATATCGCTGTCAGATTCTTAGTCTGCTAAAAATCTTATCTTTATGCCACAAATGAACGAACTGGTTTTCAAAATGGAGGCACACATACAAAGCCCTTCCAGATTCAGCGGTCATTGGTCAAGGAGGCATGGATTTAACTAGATGGAAGTGGAGGTGGGCTATACAAACATTCAGGGCATAGGATGCAGGAATGTTACATAGCTTGTAGGAAACAGAAGCACTTTTTCTGGCATGTTTCATAGCTTGGTTGCCTTATTCAACATGCCCAACATTTAGAGACAAGCGAATGGTTTACAGGAGGCTGTGGAAGAGAATAAAGAGCCTTGAACTTCTGGCAAAGTTCTTCCATATGGGCTTCTTTTACGAGTAAGCAAGAAGTTCGTATTTGCCTGAAGCTGAAGATGAATGTTATTTCCACTATAGTTTCAGTTCTTTCATGCTTTTCTTTTAAGAACGTGCAAGTGCTCAGATTTAAAAAGCTTCACTGTAGCTAAGTGTGTGAGATCAAATGCGTGTAAAATCACAAAAAGCTGATTTATAATTGTCCTCTTGATTGTAAAATGAACAGCTCTGCATTTGTGTTGTAATAGTCTACTACATGAATCATCCAATTCAAATGAGAGCATGACTTAGGCTAGCAGAATGTGGACAGGGTCCATATTGATTAAAATAAGAACTGTTTGATGCAGCTGAACCAGGCAAAGAACTTGACTCTCCGTCAACGTCTCTTTCCTTCTGTTTGTGAGCCAGTTCTGAATTCTGCGGAGAGGTTTAAGTCCCTTGGCCCAGTTCTCCCTCACCTCACATTTCACTAGTGTTCTGTACTGTTGCAGAAAAAAAGTACTGAGCAGCTAATATTGAGGAAAAGAAAATGAAAGATAGCGATCAAGGGCAGGGAGATTTGGAGCCATTATTCATAACTATTTTCCAGGCAATTTAAGGGTATAAGTTTTCAGCCAGCAGATTATTCACAAATTACTCACTTCTGAATGTTGCCCAAATTGTGTACATCCCATTAGTCATGTGGGTGACATGTTTTCAGATTAATTTGCAAAGAACTTAAGCATTTTCTTAAATCTATCTTCTGTCAGTAAATCATTTAGCTACATAAAATTAAGCACATTAAATTCCATTTGAGAAGTAACGCTTAAGCCTGTGTCGAAACTAAAAACAACTAATATGCTAATATGTAAAATTAAACAGAAAGTTTGCTGAATTATGGTCTGGACTGCTAAACATTAGAAGCATAGCAAGAGCCAATAGCTATTTAAAATTATGATTGCTGGCTCCTCTCACAGGAATATGAAAATATATATACAAACCAAACATTTCTGCAAATTCTGGAGTCAGCCAAATGCAGCTGAGATAAATATGAAGTGAATGAGCATTTGCAATAAAATCACAGCTTTTGCAATATTAAACAGCATACAATATAACAAAATAAACTTTTATTTTTAATATAATTTAGTTACATAGCAAACATTACTAGATCTATTGTATTTGAACAGCCTGTGCATTTTAGCAATCCTGAGCTAACAGCTCTGTGTGTATTGTCTGTAAATATGCAATTAACACTTTTCATGGCTCTACTTATATGAGACATCAAATCAGGAAAATTACACTGCACTACACGGGGAATAATTAGCCCTGCCATGTCATTCCTGCATTCATAAAACTATGCCATGTTCACCTGCAGTTATTTGTGGGGGGAAAAAAGTTGCACATATTTCTGCATAAAGACTTTCTGAAAATAATTTGTTTGTTGAAAAATGAGGATGCAATAAAAGAAAATAATCAGACTGTTATTATTATTTACTACAAGCAGTTGATGCATCTGGATGGCCTTTAAGATGACTAATACAGAGGGCAAGAAGTCCCAGATCCTTATGCCACACCCCACATCACTAATTCTGAGATGTGGGCAGGACCTTTCTGGGTACTAACTGGAAAAATCAACTGCTCCAACTCCCTAGGGCAGTAAGTAGCATAGCTATAAGAGGGGAAGAGCAGGGTGCAACAAAGATGACTCATCAGACCAGGGGACAAAGGCATTGCCTACCTCTGGAAGAGTCCTCATTCTTTTCTCTGAGCAAGCAGGCTTTGCCTCTGTGGTCGTTACCGCAGCTCTCACCTCTGCTTACTTGTTTACCATCAGTCCCTCGTGCTCAAGATTCGCTGCTGAGATTACAGACAATCTCTCTTTCCCAGCTTGACTGATTGCTGTGGGGAGGAGAAAAAAGAGGAAAAAGCTCAGTGAAGAA